TATGTACTATGGATCATGATTTAACCTATTCATGTTAGCAGGGGATAATTGTAACTATTACTGCAGTGTACGGGACGTATGTGCTGTATATGTACTATGGATCATGATTTAACCTATTCATGTTAGCAGGGCAGAATTGTGAGTGCCTCCCACAAGCTGAGCACCGAGATGCGATGCAGTGATCCTGCCCAGCGCCGACTACAAGAGGCACCGCATGAGGCTACGGGGATCGGAGTGAAACTGTGAGTAAGGGAAGCTGGGACGGGGCTGGCTGTAAATCTATTGCTAAAGTGTACTGGACGTGTGTAATGTATATGTAGTACATATATACAGCATACACCTCCACTACACTCCAGCAATAGAGTTACAATTCTCTACTGCTAACATGAATAGGTTAAACCATGATCCATAGTACATAACATGTAGTTGTACTATGGATCATTTAAAGTCACCTGTCCCTTTAAGAAAAAGTATCTGTAATTGGTATCGGCAAGTACATGAGGGGATTGTACTTGGGCCTAAAAAAGTGGCATTGGGACATCCCTACCTGTATGTGTTATTGTTACCTGTATTTGCTAATGTAATTTTGAATAATATTGTTTCCATTAAATGTAACCTCGGCTTATACATTTTATAATCATATGCTCAGTTGGAGTTACAAGGTTTCTGATAACTTTATCTTTAGCACTTTCTCCCTAAGCCACACTCAGAGGGCAATTTCTCAACACTGGAGCAGACAAAATCTGGAGCAGCTGTGCATGCAACCAATCAGCTTCTCTCTTTCATTTTCAAATCTTAAGGTCCCCACACACCTTGCGATAAGGTCGCACGACTTTAAACTTACTAACATGTTCGAAAACCCGCCGAGCATCGTACGATTTTCGGCGGGTGTGTAGCATGTTCGTAAGATAAAAGCCGGACGGGCCGGTGTGCGCAAGCGGACACTGCCCGTTCGGCATTGCGGTCATCGGAAGCCCGCCCCTCAGGGCAATAGTCTTGCGATGGTTGTAAGGTGTGTGCCCAGCCTACACTGAACAAACTGAAGAGAGAAGCTGATTGGTTGCCATGCACAGCTGCTCCAGATTGTGTCTGCTCCTGTTTTGAGAAATTCCCCCCATAGTGTCTTCCACATTTCATGACCTGCTTGCACAATCCCTGTAAGCATTGTTAACATAATACAATAATGTAAGGTGACTGAAAACACAAAATTATGTGTACCTTGTTATATTGATTCAATACTCAACAAAGGGAATTCATCAAAACTGGAGCAGCTGTGCACGGCAACCAATCAGCCTCTCTCTTTCATTTTCAAATCTTAACTGACCAAACTGAAGAGAGAAGCTGATTGGTTGCCATGCACATCTGCTCCAGTTTTGAGAAATTCCCCCCAATGTATCATATTGCTGCTTATAAAACCTTCCCCAGATGTTTTCTATACCTGCACTGGTTTAGTATGGAAAGAAGGAGCCAGGAAAGGCAAAAATGTATGCAGATTAAACTTCAACTGTAAACTCTAATCCTTCTGCTTACATTTTATTATTGCAAAACTCATATGCTGAATTGGGTGGCTGTCAAATTATGGTCAGCCCCAGTACACTTATCAATGACACAAGACACAGTTTAGTAACTGTCATGTATACTTGCCACGTTTCCTTTAAAGATTAAACTGTCAGCCACTCCCTGAATTTTTTTATCATTGATATATGCTTATGACCACTGTCATATGTAACAGGATGTGAACATATTTATCCATGCCTGCAACAAAAACAGTACAAAGTATAGTATGCTTTTTTAAAGCATGAGAACATTTCCAGTACTGGGATAGTGGGCAGAGTCAGGCAAATCAATGTTTTATACCCTGTTGCTAAAATGTTTTTCTGTGTCACAGATATAGGGGTCTATTCACGAAGCAGCCGAAGGATCTAGTCGTAGCTTCGGCCGATCCTTCAGCTAGCTTCGGCCCCAGGACCCCTTCGGTTCAGTAGAACCGAAGGGCTGCTGTACGGGTTATTCACAATTGCCCATACAGCTCCCGAACTTAGCCGAGCGGCTCAGCCAAGCCGAACGCATATGCCTCGGCTCGGCTGAGCCGCGCTGAAAGCCGAAGCTGGCCGGCCGACAGCCTGCTTCTGACAGGTGGGCGGAGCCAGCTGTGATCTTACGGCAGGCTCCGGCCACTTGCAGAGAGATCAGCTTCCCTGGTTACCAGCTAACCAGTGACACTGATCTACAGACAGCCTAACTCTCCCTGGCGCTCCGGGAGTCAAGGAGAGAGAAAGACTGCTTTTTCTTTTTTTTTTCTTTATTCTGACACAGAGCTGTGTCAGAATAGAAAAAATAAAATAAATATGTTTTGGCTATAGGAATGCATTGCTAGATTCCTATTAGCTATTTCCATTTGCAATAGCCAATAGCAAACTAGCATTGCATCCTCCCTCTGCTGCAGTTCTCCATCAGGTCCACAACTACTGATTGACAGCAGCAGAAGGCGGGAACAATAGCTAGTTTGCTATTGCAAATTGAA